AGAAGACAAGGAGCAAGTGTGGCCTTGCCGTTGAATACGTGCTAACTGATCACCTACATCTGTGAACTCTCTTTGCTTGAGCTAAAAATTCTTGGGAAGCCCTGCTGTTTGTTATTTACTACCTGGAACAATTATATTTAGTGTACTCGGAACACAGCCACAGTGGATAATCAAATTCTAAGCTAACATATAGATGATAAACACAGCTACTCAAGCAGTTTGACTGTGGATCCATTCCAGTCAGGGATGAAGTAAGCTTGCTCTTTACTTTTACTGTGCTATCTGACTGTTAGAAGGTTGCCATGGTGACACTTTCCCAATTCCTTTTGCTCTTTGAGGGGAAGCGAAACAGAAGTGGTTTGGTAACAGACTCTTTTGAAGTGTTACCAGGCTGTCATTCCTCTCATTATAAAATGTGTAAGTTGGAAATGTGCTGCCTGGGACCAGGCAACTGAAGTTTATTTAACCTGCATCAAAATACTTGAAAATGCTCCCTATTTGTTGTCAGTCGCAAAAGATGGCATCCCAAGAGACAGGGGAGCTTCTGGATTTAGGGCCCCTGGAACATATCCTAGAGGGAGGCACTACAGGCAGAGGTTTGAGAACTGTGCTTCTCAGAGCATCTGGTGGCCTGTCTTGAGCACCTACCAGGTGACACACAGTTGCTGAGCGTGTTGTGTGCTTCTGTGTTAAAGCCACACAGACACCTATACTATTGTCACAGTTTGTAACCTCAGGCCACTGAGCCTCAGCCAGGTTTGACTCTGGGGCTCTGACTGTGGAAGCTGACCTCTCAGTTGCCACCTTGTCTCTCTGGAGTCATTCAGATGAGGTGAGCTGCTCCCTCTCCTTCCCACGGAAGAGCTTACAGCTAAGGTTTATGAGTCCTCTCCCTGTATCAAATTTCTTAGTTATATTCCACGAAAACCTAGAGAGGACTCTCCGGAACAGCCTGGAATCTGGCCAGGTCGTACATTTAGACAAATATGCATTTGTGGCCTCTTCACATGTCAAGACCCGTGGAGCAATTAAGGACATAAGGGTAGGACATAAGGGTAGGGCGTCAGAGTGTTCCAGTCTTAGCAGTTGTGTGAGTTACTTCCTCTGGGAAAGGGAAATGATAGAACTCACGCTTGTTATTCTAACTTGCCTTTTGTTGCTGCGGTAAACACTATGACCACAATCAACCAGGAGAGGGAAGGCCTAACTTCTCCTTGCACTCGAAGAGCAGTCCATCACTGAAGGAAGTCCAGGCAGGATCAAGCAGGGACCATAGAAGAGACCGTTGAGGCATGATGTTGACTAGCTCGTTGGCTGGCTCGTGCTCAGATGGCTTTCTTACATGGCTCTGACCCAGCTACGCGGGAATGGTGCTGCCCACAGCAGGCAGTGACCACCCACATCAATCATCGCCATGACAGCTCCTTACAGATGTGGTTACAGGCCAGTCTGATCCAGACAGCATTGAGATTTCTTCCAGGTGACTCTAGCTTGTGTCAAGCTGACAATAAAAACTACCCAGCACACCTGTTCAAAGGGTACTGCCAACATTTGCTCTCCTCAAACCTTATGCATCTAAGGTAAATCATGTTGTGCTCTAGACCACAAATTCTGGGCTGAAAATCACTCCTTTTAAGACGAGACTTGAAAAGTAGAGACTGGAACTTGGTGGTAAAATGTATATTGGCTGTCATTCCAGGGGATTCAGGTTCGATCCTCAGCACCCACACGGCAGCTCCCGACTGTCCCAGGAGATCAAACATTTCTCTGTCCTCCAGGAACGCCTCACAGCACGCAGTGCACATGCGTGCGCACGCAGGCAAAACACCCATACACGTAAAATAAAACAGTCGAAAGTGACAACAAATGCCCGCTAACAATATTTGCCCGTAGAAAGTTGACTTTTCTCCTGTGCTTCTCACCTTTTGAGCTACAGCTTCAGATAACTCCGGGAAACTTTTCCCCCCACTAATAACTGTCCCCAAACTTATAAACTCTCCTTTGTTCTTTAGTGTAACATTCGGGATTGCAATCCTTATCATCTAGCTGCACAACTAGTACTCCAAACAAGCAGACTCAGGACATACATAGTTCAAATGTTTCTATCTTCTTCCATCTCTGCTTTACTCCAATCATGACGACCATTTCCAAGCTCAGCTCAACTGTCCCATCCCTGAGGCCAGCACAACCACTCCCATCCCATTTAATTCCCTTGTTCCGAGCTCCATCCTCACCTTCCTCATCCTCTTCCTTGTGCTTCTGCTTTCGAGTTCTCTTTCTTTTCTCATTCTTATTTGATTACAAGTCCTGTGAGGACAAGGCTCAGGGCTCCCACTGCCTATGGGGCGGCAGCAGGGCAGTGTGAGTGTCACAGCCATTGCTTAAGTCACGCTGCAACGATCGTCTATACTGTCTCCTAACTCTTTAAAACCTGTAGTCACTCACCCGAGTCTAGTACTGAGATATCTTGTGAAATTAAGTAAGATATTCCACGGAAATTGCTTAGCAAACACTCGCCACATTTTTTTGGTGCGTGGTAGAGATTAGATCCTGCAATGCATACAGTAAAGTCTATTCACTGATTAACTTGACAAGTATTTATTGGATATTATGTCAGTCTGCTTGGGCTGCCATATCAAAACACCATAGGCCAGGTGGCTAAAACAACGTGCTTTGATAACACTTTCGGAGGTTGGGATCTGGAAGGCAGCAAGCTTGTCTCCTAGGGAGGGGCCTTTTGGTGGCTTGCACATGGCTGCTGCCTTGCTGTGTCCTTGCTTAGTGGAGTAAGCATTCTCTTGCTTGATGGCTCTCTTTCTCCTTTGCTCCTCCATTCTTTCCTCGTCTTTAATTGTAATATTCCATTAGTTTTTCTTCCTGTGCCAGTGACCCAGTGTTAGAGCCTTGCCAGTCCTCATGACTCCTTCAGTCCAAAAAGCCTTATCTCTAAATACTTCCACTTGGGAGTTAGGACTTCAACCTATAGATTTTGAGGGGGCAGAATTCAGTCCTTATTAAGGACCTGCACATTACGTGAAACAGTCCAGGCACATAGCAATGAACAGATAGACAACATTCCCTACTTACATTTCTTCTATCAGAAAATAGTACATCAGCCTTTGCGGACACAGCGGTGCCCCACAATTATGTAGCATATATTTATAACCTGTGGTTACATCGTATTACGTAGCAAAGGGGAATTCAGTTGCAGATAAGACCGAGTTTGTGAAACTGCTGACTGTCACGTGCAGGGAGAAACCTGGCTGGACCGGGTGTCATCATATAATATTATATATATATATATTTTTTAAAAGATTTATTATGAATGTTTATGTATGTGTCCCTGCGAAGGTTAGAGGGGCGTCTGATCTGCTGAAACTGGAGTTATGGGTGATTGTGAGTTGCTGATAGTGGGTGCTGGGAACCAAATTTGGGTCCTCTAGAAGAGCAATAGCTACTCTGGGTTTTTTATATTGTTTTGTCATTTTTGGTTTCTTTGGTTTTTTTGTTTGTTTGTTTTGTTTTGTTTTCCAAGATATGGTTTCTCTGTATAGCCTTGGCTGTCCTGGATTTGCTTTGTAGACCAGGCTGACCTCAAACTCACAGTCATCTACCTACCTCTGCCTTCCCGAGGCAGCCTGCTCATATTGTTTCTTAGCTTTGTAGTTCTGCGCTTTTTCCCCCCACAGAAAACTAACGTGGGGAGTGAACCAAATCTAGTATTTAGTATGTCTGTGGCAAAACTGAAGCAGAGCATCTGGAAGGGAATACCACCAAGGGAGTAGACGGGGCTGAAAGGGAAGGCCTTCAAGTACAGAACTGGAAGAAAAAGGTAGTCTCTGAGCCATGACATGACTGAGCAATTCAGAAGACTACCCCAGGCTAGGCCTCAGCAAGTGCTAACACCCCGTGGCAGGAGTTTTCCTAGCATTTGGGGGAGCCAAGAAGGGCATCACACATAGCAAGACAGATTCGATGGAAAGGCTAGTGGGGGTGGGGCATGGAAACTATGTATATAGCTCCTAAATTCCACCTAATTCATGTCCATTTCAGATGTATAGTGGAAATTATGGAATGCAATAACTAGCCAATGAGTATGCATTAACATATTATGTAGACAAATCCACTTCATTTTTTTTCTCAGAAAGTCAACTCATGTTTGAAGATTGCTACCAACAACTAAGAATACTTTTCATAATTGGTTTACTCTTAATCACCCTGCAAAGTAGGTATGACTTCCAAGCATTTTTTTTTCATGATTTAATCCTACTTTCTAAGGTGTGTCACGCAGCCCAAGGCATTTTACAACAGTAATAAACTCTTAAAGAAGGTTAAGTCCTTTGGCTCTTTCTGAGTACCTTGGAGAAAGCTTTTGTGGACTTTAGACAGGGTTTCCGCTGCTCTGATAAAATAGCATGACCGAAAGCAGCTTGGGGAGGAAAGGGTTTATGTGGTTTACACATTCTGATCAAAGTCCATCTTAGAGGGAAGTCAGGGCAGAAACTCAAGACTGGATCCTGGAGGCTGGAACCGAAGCAGAAACCGTGGATGGACACTGCTCACCGCTTTGCTTCTTGTGGCCTGCTCTGCCTTCTTTCTACACATCCCAGGACAACCTGCCCAAAAGTGGCACCACCCACAGCGGCCTGGCCCTCCCACACCAATCATTAATCAAGAAGATGCTAGATAGACTTATCAGTAGGGTATCGCATGAAGGTATTTTCTCATTAAAGATTCCCTCTTCCTAGGATGGTCCCAGGTTGTGTCAAGTTGACAAAGACCAGGCAGGACAGCACTCTTTCTAGTCTGATATCTTTTTAGCCAGCCAAACTGGCCAGTGGATCAAAGCACGTTGTCCCAGGCTCTTGTGGAGGTTAGAGGATCCTAAAGGCAACACGGCTCCTCCTGCTCCCATGTAGCTGCCTTTCCAGAGAAGACCGCCAGGGGACTCCGCTCTGAGCCGGCGAGCTGCGGTGGCGCCCGGGCGTGCTGCGCGGCGCGCTGGGTGCATGTGGGGGCCGCAGGAGAGCCGCGGCGGCTGCATCTGGAGTCGCGCGTGCCGGCCAGAAAGCCCTCGCGTGGATCTGCAAGCCTCGCTGCTCCGGCCGAAGGAGCTCTCGCTTCTCCTCCGGCTCCAGAAGCTGCTGCCCGCGCGGAGGAAGCCAGCAGGGCCCTCGGCGGGAGGTTAAAACCCCACGGTAAGAAAGCCCTTCCGAGCGCGGCGCGGCGGCGCGGTCCCGCAGCCTCCCGCTCCGGACCCTGCCCCGGAGGGCCGAGGTGCGGGCACACTTAGGGCGGGTCAACCGCGCGGACCCCAGGCGCCCTTGCTCGCCGCGAGCTTCCGGGGTCGGAGTCTGGTTTGGAGCGGAGCCGGCTCCTAGGCTTCTCCTTGCCTCCCGGTACGCACTTCCCGGGCTGGAACTCAAGGCCAGTTCCCACCCAGGGGTCGGTGGCTTTGATTTGAAATACGCCCCCTTCGGGGTGCAAATCTCACCCAGAACCTATTCTGAATCGAGGGGAGGGTGCGCGTTGGCCTGAGGCGGCGGGAAGAGAAACTTTTATGCAAGTGCATCTGTGCGCCGGGACGATCCCGGGCTCCTGGACCCCAGAGCAGGCTCGGCTGCGTGGGGCTACGGCTCACCGGCTCGGCTTGTCCCCGGGCTACTGCTGCCTCGTGAAGGGAACGTGTTAAGAAAAAAATAAGTCTTGCTCAACTTTTGGACCAACAACTGTCAAACCTCTGGAATCGCAGCCCCTCCCTTTCCTGCACCAGAGAAGGTGAAAAAGTAAAACTTTGCCTTCATTTCTTCCTCCTCTCCCACCTCTGGACCCCCCAGGGCTGGGTGGTTAGTGGTAAAGAGGGGCTCTCGCCTCCAGGAGCGTGGCAGAGGCTCTAGACCGCTCAGGATCCCTCCCAACCCCCCTTCTGACCCCTCCTGTAAGTCTTCCCGGCAGGGACCAGGCGAAAGCGCCGATCTCCTTGAACCGGGTGAATGGCCTTTTGTTTCTGCTCGGTTCCACTATTGTTGCGCCTCTCACATCTGGTGGGGCTCCGGCGGAGAGAGAAACCCCTTTCGCCCCTCTCGGGGCCTTCCACGCTGGCCTCTGCGCGGGCTCAGGTCAGGGATCCCCGCCGGGGAAGTAGGGGGATCGGGACTGGGCTAGGCCGCCCCACCCGGGACTTGCGGTTAGAGGGCGGAGGGAAAGTTGTTCTGGCCCCGCCTCCTGTCTGCCTGTGGCCCTGGGCGCATTTCTCAGATCTTATCCGCAGCGATTCTGAGACGGGTGTCGGGTGTGGGTTGAGAGAGTGGAAGCAAAGGAGATCAGGGAGGGGCTCCAAAGGACTTCCAGTGGATGTCCCACAGCCCGGGCGATGGGCGGGGCACCTCATCTCGACCTAGAGTTCAGGGGATCTCAAGGGCTGCAGGGCAGGCTGTTGACCACAAGATAACCTGGGAAGGCTGCAGAGCTTGCCTGGAAATAGTGGTGTCGTGACGAGCTGTGAAATGGGCTTCTGACTTCACCTAAGACCCCAAGTTTAAGTCTCAAAGTCCTCCCAGCGATGTAGAAGAAGCAGGCCACGAGTACGCACTGCAGATGGCAGAGGAGGCCAGAGCACTGGTTTTCAGTCGCTTGAGAACAGGTGGTTTGGGGTAGGCCCTGCTTCTCCAGAGGGAGGCGCCCGTTAGACTACAGAGGTCGGGTTTTCCAGAACAAATTAGGTGCTCAGACCTAGAGCAGTTAGCGAGTGTGGGTTATTTATTAAGAAGTCTTGGCGAGAGCAAAGCCGCCTCCCAAAGCCGGTAGGGACCGGAACGTTTCCCGAGAATCGGCCAGAGGAGGTTTGATCGTGTACTGTTGGGGCTGGTGTTGCCGATGCCTTTTTTCTTTCCTGTAGAATTCCCAATCTTAGTCCTGCTAGGAGATGCAGAAACATTCTTCTTCGCTTCTCGGTTTTGACACCCTCTCCCACCCAGTGGAGGAAGGGAGGCTTATGTTTGGGGCCACCTGTGACCTAGGTACCTCTCCTCCACCCTTGCTGGCGTGTTAAGCAAGCGCCCTTACTCTCCAGGCTTCATTCAGACAGTTTAAGTTCTGGGCTCTGAGCAGGTCTGCTTTGCTCTTTACTAACTTAAAGGTACTCTGAGAGACTGTTAACGTAAAAGAGGGTATCTGGAGAAACCGGCGATTTCTACATGTTGCCAGTGGGGCGTGAAAAGAGTAACAGCAAGTTCTCTAAAGTGCTCAACACACTCATGATAAGGGCCGCGCAAAATCGGATTTCTTTGAAATTTGACAGTAGCAACAAAGTAACAAACAGGACCTGCTGATGAAGAGCTGCTTAGGTTCTGTTTGCTCAGGGAATACCAGAAGGCATCATTAAAGCTAAAGTCAGAGCTTGGCCCAGCCTGCCAGGAGGGAAATAATCATAGAGGAAAATAAATGTGTTCAATTTCTTTAATCTTAGAACTAAAAGACTTATCAAAAAAAAAAAATACCGTAGGAAAAATAGAAATTCCTAGGTGAAAAGTTAAAAACTACATATGCCATGCTCCAGTGAATAGCAATCTTACCCAATTATTTCTTTGGAATCTGTCTCTGGAGACACGGTAGGATTGATACACTTTTTAGGCTGCTGAAGGCTGCAGTATTGCCCACATGCCAGTTTGCTCTCTTTCCAGCAATGTGAGAGCCTCCACTGCACCCTCTCTCAGGGTTATCGCTGTTTTCCCATTTCGGTTGTGGTAATGGGAGAGGAATATTTCATTGCTGCCTTATTTAGCACTTTTATAAAACTCGAAAGTGAGGGAAAACATTTTTATATGATACACTAACATTTCTTTATGTTGTTATGTCTTTTTGGTAGGATTGGTCTCTGATTTTTTTTTTTTTTCCAGTTCTTTCTCCTCCTCGAAGTTTTGGGGATCAGTTTCAGGGCCCTCTCTAACTGTGCATGTGCTTGTCCACTGAACTGCATGCCCACTTAGCTAGTTCTCTTCCCTTGCACAGAGCAGACATGGGACGGGGAGGGCAGCAGCTCTAGCTGACTGAAGTCACTTGCTGGAGGCCAGGCAAAGGTGACAGGGAAACGAATGTGTTTGTCTGCAGCTTTGCAGTTGTATGTCTGTCCAGCCTCCTTCCCCACTGCCCTGATCCTAATCTAAAACGATGTGATTGTGCTTTTACCAAATAGATTATATTAACTCATTTTATTGTCTGATTCTTTTGCCAGTGATCTAAATGCCACAATCCACAACTTGTTTTGTTTTAACGTTTCTTCTAGCTTTTTCACTGAACTTTCTCTTTTGCTTGCCGCAGACTTTCTTTGACTATACTGTTTTGAACCGTGTACTCGGAGTGGCTTGAATCTGAAGAGGTTAGCCGCATGCTGGTAATAGCCTTAGCATAACATGTTCTGGAGGGCATTTGAACAGTCATAGCCTCTATCTAAGTTCTTGCTTGAAGATGGAGGATTCTGAAATGTGTAGAGGGGAAGAGGAGGAGAGAATTCACTTAGTTAGGTGGTAAGTCAAAACAGAAGAGTTAAGTAAATCATCTAGGCAATCTGGATAAAAACAGACTTCAAAAAAGTAAGTGATTTAGATACCAGATATTATTAGAATACCCAGTTTACCTAACTGACAACACATAGCTTTCCAACTGGAAAAGTCAAACACGAATGTAAAATCCTCCCATAATATGACTCCATACATTTACTTTAGGTGCGTACACAAAGGAAACCACCCACTATGAGAGACTATTACTGATTTCTCTGGCATTTTCTGTGCTTTTCCCTAACCCCCACTGCAGATCTCAGGATCCAATCAATCCATCATATTGTGCCTTATGCATGATAGACAAGTATCACCTACAACTGGGCTACATCCCGTAGCCTTTTCCACACCTTTAGGTTTAGAAACCAAATAACATGTTCCAGGTGTAGTACATGAGCACATTAGACAGGCTTTCAGGTCTCCAGGGGCTTACTGGCCAGCTGATTTAACATCTATCCAAATTTCACAACAGAGCTTGACTTTTAAAGCAACCACTTTAAACTGCATCATTTCAAAGAAACCAAACTGACAAATGATCTTGACATTTTTCCCCCCCTCTTAGAAAGGAGGTGGTAAAAAATGAAAAGTTTAGACCAGGCGTGGTGGCGCGTGCCTGTAATCTCAGCTCTCCAGGAGGCAGAAGCAAGTAGATCTCTGTGAGTTTGAGGCCAGCCTGGTCTTCAAAGTCCAGGATGGCCAAAGCTATCACAGAGAAACCCTGTCTCGAAAACCCAATAAAGAAAAAAAATAAATAAATAAAAGGAAAAAAAAGAAAAAAGAAAATGGTCAAAGGACAAGAGAGAAGATGGAAAGGAAACCTCACTCCTTTCAAACACTCTCTAGTACTTCCTAAGAAAATTCCTGGGGTCACCTGGGCACTGATAACGGGGCCAGCATTGCCTCTTCTTAAAGAGATGGATATGGTTGATGTACCACGGCCGAGCCTCGGAGAGCCCAGACATTACAGGACGGACACTGAGGATACTGCCGCATCACACACATGCTTAAGACAAAGGAGGGAACTACAGGAAAGGCATAATTCTGAAAATATACCTGAGTGCATTTTGAGTAGTTTCTTGAAGTTGTAGAATATCATGAAACATCTCCTCATTTCTGCTCCCACAATCATCCAGGCACAGAAACTGTAGTTCTTCTCCCTCAGGAACTTTTTGATTCTGGTGAAATACTTGTTTAGTTCCAGGTAGACCCCCTGGAGGTCCTTTGGTGAAGGATGCTGCGGCGTCCTGTCCCCTTCCATGTTCTCTTCCTCCTCATCCATAAAGCAGTCTTGAGCTTGCTGCACTTGCTCCAAGAGTCTCATTCTGATGCGTTGCAGGCGCTCCTTTGTCACAGGGGAGATGGAGCCGTTATGACTGAAAACATTCAGTGCCTCAATAGATAGACGATAGAAGGCCTCCTTCATGTTCCCTTTCACATGCTGGATGTATGACAGAATTTCTTTAGGAAACTCAAAATCCTTGATTTCTTTTAGACATTTCAGGGGAGAGCTGCTGCTGATGCTGCCCAGAAGTTTCACACTTTCCAAGATGGCATTATCCAGATGAACACAGTTCAGAGACTGGATGGGTGAGATGAATAGAGCCACAAGGACCACCAGCCATAAATGCTTCGGGGTCATCGTGGCCTTGGTGCTCAATATTTAAAAAAAAAAAAAAAACCAAACAAATCTACAACACCCAGGATTAGCAGTGATGTTTTCGCTTCTCTTTCATGGTCTTATATACCTTCAGCAGGAGGAGTTTTCTCCCGTAGATTTCACAGTCCTTTGCCTGCAGGCGTACTTTTTCTTTTTAAGTGAGTAAGGCATTACTTTAGGTTCCCAGGTGACCCATCCCAGCACTGAGGAAGACTCATCATAATAAAACTGACACACAGGGGTTGGCCGTGTAGCTTAGTTGTAGAATGTTTGTCAAGCACATGCGACACCCCCAAGTTCAGTTCCCAACACTGGAAAAAAAAATCACTAAACTCATATCAAAGGCATAATGATCCTTCTGGGAAATATACTTTTGAATCTACTCCTATAGTCAAATTTCTATTTTAATTAAATTAGTCATTAACCAAATGGCTGTGATTACCGATGACTAAAGATCACTAGCAATAACATAATTTAGTTTCCCTCAATCTTGACAAATTAAGCTTCTGTATTTAGAATTTTTTCTTTTCTTTTCTTTTTATTTTTTCCTTTTTAATTTTAATTTTTTTCTTAATTTTTCTGGATCTCAAAAAAGATAATGAGCCACATTTGTCAACACAGCTCTAGAAAATGCAGGGTGATGTTGGCTTAGTTTCTCTTGACACTGGAGATGACTTCCTTTCATTATATTCATCTCTGGGTTGCATGTCATATACCTATATCTTAGCAGTCTTCTGGTGGGTTGGATATTGAGAATATTATTTTTCTGCTTCTTTGTTTCTCTATTGTAGTGTCATGCAGTTTCTTTCTTATACACTTTGGATACAGATTTAGATGAGATATAGTACTTAAAAACTCTTACTTCATCATCTTTCCTTCTTACTTGTTGGTTCTGGAATCTGTGAAGTATTTCGTTTGTTCTGCTTGTTTTTCACCCATAAGGCATCTAGGCAGAAGGTCACCTACTTCAGCCAGCTAACTCATATCCAGTCTGCTATGACTATGCTATGATGCCTGTCTGCCATCGATCGGTGCTGTTTGCTGTGTTTGGCCAAATAATCATTTTTGGATTATGGTCTTATCAAATGGATTCCTGTCTTTAAGAAAGTAAAATAGGATGACTTTAAAAGACCTTAGCTTATTTTATTTTTTGTTTAAAACAAGGAAATTAATGGATTTTCAGTGGCATTCTCTTGAAATGGGAAGTAACTAGAGTTCTACAACAATAGCAGACGGTGACTGAAATTTTGGCTTAAAATTTCTTCTTAATCATTTGGTTGCAGCAGAAGCTAGTTGTGGATGACTTTCTTGACCTCTTGGTTATTATGGACTGGCTTCTTTAAAACAGAAAATGTTGCATATATTCTTTATATAAATTCTAATTTCATAGATAGTTTCTCTGCATGGCTGATTGTAAAAAACAAAATCAGGAAAAGAGGCTTTTTTATATGAGATTATACATTGATTTCAATCATTTGACTGTCATAGGGGACAAAATGGTGACATTGATCAAAATCATTTATAGTTTGCATATGCATTGTCTTTGATTCCGCTATTCCTTCTCTGAGAGTTTCTCCATCCTCTTGCCCGAAGAATGATGCTGTCATCAAAGATTTGGAAAACAAGGTAATATGCACTTGGTTAGGTAAAAACATCCATAGACAATTTCTGCACAAACACTAAAAGTTATGTCTGGGAATATATTTGGCCACTTGGCTGACTATAGTTTCTTTTTTTAAAAAAGCTTTCTTAGTAGGATGGAGTCTAGTTGCATTCTTATTAAGTGTGGGTATTTGCATATTTGGACAGAAAAGAATCTTGAGATATATATCCCAAAAGTTTTGAGTCTTATCTCTGGATTGGAAAAATTAGTGATTTTTATTCTTTTACTTTTATTTGCCTATTAAGTTTTCTGTGGTCAGCAAGTGTTTTCTTACCTAAAAAGCAAATGTCTTTAAGAGAAGGTATAGTTAACAAAGAAAGATGTTGTATATGTGACACAGAATCAATAAACTTAAACATATCTACTTAAAAAGAAAATGTAAATTCCCCTAAGTCTTGGCTCTAGTTGAGTTTCTGTTAACAACGTAGAATTATATGAAAGCCGAGGGTACTGATCTCATAGCTTTTTATACGGAAATGCTTCTATGCGTATCTACACACATTTGTGATCACACATACATACACACAGTGTCCATAAGGGGCAAAGCGCCCCGAAGGCTGTGCTTTCTTACATAGCTCGTGTAATTTCTACCTAAACCGTCTAGGTCAAGCAGTTCCAGGTAGAACTGCCTATCATTTGGGGCTTTTGCCTTGCCTTGCCTTCCTTAATTATACGTGTCAAAGTAAATTTAAAACACGCCTCTCCAAGCACCCCGGTTCTCTCTGCTGCTTACTGTACTTTGCCCCTCTTTTACACAGCTCAACGACATGCAGTTGTCTTGGTTCAAAACCTCTCTGTAAATGTTTGGCACATGTGACTCATGGCCCGGGCCCTGCAGAAGGAGGAATACAGTGTTCTACCTGGTGTCAGGAAACTTACAATCACAGACCTGTAATTGTGGGTGGACCACATTCTCCAGGTGCTGTAAATATTAATGTGGGCTAGTACTGACAGTATTCGTGACAAAGAAAAAAAAGGTAGTTGGCATGCATGCTCGCTTCTGTCTGGCCATTAGGATTGCCTGACTTAGTAAGGAAATCCATAGAATAAGCCTGCCTGCAATATTTCAGATATGCCTGCACTAGAAGAAAACCCTGTCTCCCGTTGAACTCAGATCCAAATTTATCTTGCTGTCTCTATTTTATCTGGCAACCTCACTGACCATGAAAGCTCCCACTGATCTCTGAGGGAGTTCAAGGACGACAGAGGACACTCCCTCCAGAAGCCTTTCCTCTGCCTCCCCTCTATCTGCTGAGAGCTGCATGTCACTTCAGTTCTCAATGTTGACATCACTATGGACCGACACAAATGACAGCGCATGCTCCAAAGGGGGGCGCGTGTGTACACACGTGTGCACGCTCATATGTAGTCGCTAATTGCGCTAATTAGGAACATGACTGGATCGTCAGTGACTTGCGCAGGCCATCTGAATGTACCACAGGATTTGGAAACTGAAAAGACTAGTGCGGAAACATTTTCTTTTTCGTGTACACATCTGTCACAGCTGTTCACACTGCCGTTAGCAGGACCATGCCAACTCTGTGCCCTTGATACCTGCCTTTGTTTCCTAGCGTGCTCTGAGGGAACGCAATTGACCAGGTGAGCTGTGTGTGCAGTCCTGCGGAGTATAAGGCCAATGCTGATGAGCAAGACGCATTTTTTTTTTTTTTTTGACAAAATGGAGAAATTGGACATTTCAGGGGAGACAGACCAATTTGGGTTTGCCTCAGTGGCACGTGGTGTCTGGTGAGATTTATTGCTCTCTCTGAAAGGACAGGTTTCCAGTTTGGATAACGTGTTCACCGTCTTTGTTACTCAGTAGCTCAGTGGGGGTCATTCCAGTTGTCCCGTGTTGGCGGTAGTCGAGCCCAAAGGCAGTGCATTTCCGTTAGGTGGGGCCTGGCTGTGCAGCGTGTTTATGCCAGAGCAGCTCGTGCGCTCTGGCAGATCGTCCTCCTGCCCCCTTGCCTGGTTAGCTCCTCCCAGGATCATCGGTCCCCTCCTTGATTGTGGATCCCTTGCACCCAGTGTAAGGGATTGATGACTGTACCAGCCACAATACCGGTACATTGTGACAATTCAGTCCCTTCAGGGAAAGCGGGGCCAGAAAGGGAAGGGAGGCTACCTCTCAGCTTCCCCCTATCCCCTTCCCCATCGTACAGGTAGCTCTCAGGCTGGCAGGTGGCCTGGTTGATGTCTTTCTCCTGTCTAAGCCCAGGTCTGGGATGGCAGATGCAGCAGCTGGTTTGTGGGTTGCTACCTTTCGAATGTCCTGTACAAACCACAGAAACTGAGAGATCTGGATCTCGACAGATGGGGATAGGAGACCTTGGATTTCTTAAATCATGAAAACAAGGTTATCAAAACTGATGGCTTTGACACTTCACCTTGGAAGTGTGCCTCTAGAACTATATGCTATCATCTGCACGTAATGGTTTTAAAATACAGATTGGAAGTTCTTTATGAAGATGAGCCCAGGACAGATAGTTCACCGGGTCTGGCCCATGACTAACCTAGGTACCTTGTATAGCACCTGGCGCATGGTAAATGCCCAATATTTGTTGAGTGACTAAATAAAAATAGCAAAGCCATGTCTTGATGATGGGGTGTTAGACGTTGGCTTTCTTTTTGTTTAGGGAGGAGGAGGACAAGTTGTTGTTGTGGGTAACTGAGGAATTCACAGAATGATGGATGGCAACTGAAGCGGCCATCACTATCTGTGGCACTTCTTGGAACTGCTCAAGGCTAGTTATGTCATAAACAGTTTTGTAACTTCAGCGATATCTTGGGTTCGTGTTTTTGGGTTGATTCATGTCTTCTTCTCCAGACTAGAAATGTGACTTACACAGTTTTGCAATCAGGACACCAGCTGTTTGTTGAACAAAAATAGCCGTGGGATTTCCTATGTTTCTCAAGTCTGGTTGTATATCACCTTGTATGGGCAAAGTGCGAAAGATGCTGACTCCACTCACCAAGGCTTTGTATTAGTGTTCGCAGCAGCTATCGTTTATCATATCACTGGAGAGAGGCCCTTTAGACTTACCAACACCTGTTCTCTTCTGCAACCGTTCTAAAGGCTATGCATTATTACAGCTTCCTGCACAAGAACGATCGGAACGTTAGAAACTGAGCCCTGTCCAAAGAAATTTATGATGGTTGAATATGTGTATAAGTAAATAAATGTGCAGCGTTAATAAAGATCATGTTGACTTGGGGATTGTGAGAATAGCTTCCACCTACTTCCTTGTCCTCCTGTCTGGGGCATTTTGCCCTGGGGTGGCAGTAAGACTTTCAGAGGATATTGGTAAACTGTCACCCA